ATATATATATATATATATAAATATATATATTCCTATCGAGGTACGGTAAGAGTATGTTAAAGTTTTAACATAGTTTTTAAGATTCGAACAAGATCTTATTTTTAAGCTAATAAATCAATAATATACAAATTATTTGAACAAAAAGATTAATTTTATTTTTTGTAAAAATCTCATTGTTAAATTATATAACTACTTGTTCTTAGTTTTTTAATAATTTAAAAAAAATTACTACAGAAATCGAATATTTGACCATAAAAAAAGTATTTGAAAAAACACCCCAAGAAAGCTCATATTCACACTCCGCACCCACCTCCACCGGGAAAGTAAAAGAGGAATGCCAAACTTCTGAATACGACGTCGTATTAGAAGTTGAGAACTGAAAAGCTCAAATCGACTACTGTAGAAGAAGAGGGCGAAACTCCAAAAGCTTAACTCCGATCGGTGCTCAACAATGGCGGAAACCGAACCGGCCGTCAAATCAAAGCCTCGGCCAATCATGCGGATCAGCCTGTTTCTCGTTTCCCACAGTCTCTTGTTCAGGTATAATCACACAATCCTTCGTTCGTTTCGAGTATTATCGAAAGAGGTTGATTCCTCAGTTGAAAAAGCAATTACAAACCAAAATTGTTTGAATACAGTGTGGTGTGCTGCACAGCCGGAATTGTAGCTCTTCTTATTTTGCCCCTTCTCGCCAAGAACACCTACATTTCCGAAAATGCACTGATGCCCGGTGAGTTTTGCAGCATTATTTTTTTAATTATTATTATATTGATTCATTAATTGCAAATTGCGAGTGTTGCTTGCGGTGAATTTATCTCTACTGCAAAAATCGGACCATAGCTATACTCTATGTGGACTTTATTGGTGATCTACTAACATTCAAGTATGCTTTGTTCATCTGACTCAAATTGTATTACTTCAAAATGTTTTCGAGCTATGATTTTTCTGCCATGTGAAAGAATTCCGTAAGTTGGAATTAAATAAAGTTTATGGGCTGAATTTTTGGTAACGATATAAGTGTTATTGACAGCTTTCGTTGTAGTTCATGCTCGAGTGGTATTTAGATTCATCGACATGTTTTTGATCCGCCACACACTGCAGGTTCTGCAAGTCCTATGCTCTCGAACGATGATGCTTCGGATGGCTACAGATTTTATAACAGGATTATGGATCTTGATGCAAAGACGACAATCGCTGGCAAGTAGGTGTTTTCTTTTATGCCTATGTTTGTGGCTACTCCTCATATCGTACCTATAAATTGACGTTGCATATAGTCAGATGATTCAATGTAATAATAAGTATGGTTTCACTTGAATGCCTTTGCAAAGTATAATCTACAACTTATTTTGCGTTGTATTGTCCATGTTATGACCATCCTCGTGTATTTCTACCTGGTTTTGTTTCTTCCACTGTATTTCAGTTTCACTTGATTCCCATCCATTGCTTGCTTTCTTCACCTCTTTTATGAACGAAAATGTGTACCTTGTCACACCCTCTTCCGTTCAGCCTCAAATAGTTATTCGTTCATCCTACTACGACCATGAAAATAGGGTGTTGGTTTTGGTTAAGTTAAGGTGGTTAAAATACGCGGTAGATGTAGCCACGATAGAGTGCAAGAGAAAATTTGTCAGGGCCGAATTGGCGTCCAATTGAATTTTGGCTTTAGTGAGTGCACTTTAATTAGAAGCTCAACACATTTAGATGGTGTTTGATCATAATTGAAGGACACAAACTAGTTTAGAGTTTGTTATTCATCAGCAGTGTATCTTCTTTATACTTGCTGTTACTGGCAATCATTCGTATTTGAGCATGTAACAACAAAAATCATGCAAAATATTTCTGTGTTCGTCCGTTTCTTTCATGCTAAGTTTGTTATAACTTATACATCGGTTCAAACTTCTTTCAAATCAATAACCTATGTCCTCTAATATTTGCATCCAGTGAAATTCCAGAGCTGATAGCAGAACACATAAAAGAGTTAGATGGCGAAGTTAATTACCACAAGTTCCTCCCAATATCTAATAAATTTCATCCATTGCACTTTTTCTTGGGCCCTGATGCTGGAATAATCCAAGAGAATTTTACCTGTTCATCTTACGGAATCAACACTGTTGGAATAATAAGAGCTCCGCGTGGTGATGGGAAGGAAGCTATTGTACTCGTAACGCCTTATAATTCCACCAAGATCACTACCGGCGAGGCTTTATCTCTTGGAATCGCATACTCAGTCTTCTCTCTACTTTCCCGAGTCACTTGGCTTGCTAAAGATATTATATGGCTTGCTTCCGATTCAAAACACGGGGAATATGCTGCAGTTTCTGCATGGCTGAGAGATTATAATACACTTTCTTTTGGTGACTTGAAGCTGCAGGATGAAATGTGTAGTCCAAGTATTTCTAATGGTTTTCGACGAGCTGGAACAATGGCAGCTGCACTTATCATTAAGGTTGCTGATAGCAGTATGGAGTTTGAAAAGGATAATCTCAAGATATATGCTGAAGCGTCTAATGGGCAGATGCCGAATCTTGACCTCATAAATATTGTTAATTATCTGGCTGTGCATGGGCAGGGTTTGCAAGTGAGGGTGGAGAAAATTTGGTCATTGCTCGATTCTTGGTGGCTGAAAATTCTGGGACAACTACTTGAGTTGCTCGGAAGTGTGGCTAAAACCTTAAATCCACAATGGAAATTCGGCATCCCTGTTGCAGATTATGTTGAAGGCTCTGCCACTCTTGCTAGTTCCCTATATAACCAGGTAATTGCTTTAATTTCATGGATAACCATTATGCAGAGTCTGCATATATCATCATTATTACACCCTTTAGTTTTTTTTTCCCTACTTTTATCGTCGGTTTCCACATTCAATTGTTAATTTTGTTTGCCAGGCGTTAGGTGTTCCGACTGGTCCACATGGGGCCTTCCGTGATTATCAAGTTGATGCAATTACTATGGAAATCTCACCAAAGTTCTACTCAAGTCAGAGGGCCCTGTTCCTTTTGCGAGTTGGCAGGTTAGTGTTAATTACAAAAAATGCAGATGATCTGTTTTGTATGCTGTTATTGTTATTTTTTTTCCCTTCATATATTTTGTGCTAGATGCTACTTTTTTTTTTCTTTCTTGGAGAAATATATATTTTGTTTGTGTTTCTCCAGTTGAGATGACTTCTCCCGTACTTTATAGGTTGATCGAAGGAGTCGTACGATCTGTGAATAATCTCCTCGAGAAGTTCCATCAGTCCTTTTTCCTGTATCTCATGACATCTCCTAGTAGGTTTGCTTCAGTTGGGGTCTACATGATTGCCTTTGCATTACTCGTTGCTCCTCTTCCACTAGTTGCAACATCTCTCTTTTCCGATGCTAGTAATTCAAAACCGGAGAAAGATGAAATATCATCCAAATCTCTCCCAACTTTTACATCATGGAAATGGCTTAGTGCTGCAAAAACAGTTCTTTTTGTGCACTTATGGAGTGCAACTGTAACACTGCTTCCTTATTTCATCTCAAAAATTCCTAATTCCACCCCATCTTTCAACTTCTTAAGTTGGATCGAGCTTTCTTTGGCTAGCTTCTTATTCATGTACGCCATTCCTGGTTCTTTTTCATCTTCGAGTACAACTCAACCACAAAGAAACGAATGGGCTCTTCTGAAATCAGTAACTATTGCCGCTGCTTTCATAGGGCTTTGTCTCATGTCTGTAATCAACTTCGCAACAGCTGAAATCGGAGCACTTCTGCTGGTTCCTATGTGTTTGACCGTTTTACCCCTGAGGCTCGATTTGAAAGAAAAACCCGTGAGAGCGTTCGTGCGTCGAGCTTGTAATGTGCTATTGGTATTCCTTGGGTTTCCTCCAATTATATTTCTCTTGTTAAAAGGTGCGTTAGATGGTTTTAGCAGCGTTGGTTTCGGTGATTTCTGGAATTGGGCAGAGTCCCTTTGGGCATGGAACAGTGCTACTTATATCTACATGTGTATGGTTCATCTGCCCTGTTGGGTTCTTTGTATTCGCACATTACTACATCGTTGCTAATTTTTCTTCGATTCTTCTGGGCTTGTTTCTGTTTGTATCGAATTAATCAGATATCGAAATAGTATACATTTTTAGCATCAAGGCTTGTTTGATAAGCTCGAATCCCACAACTAAATATTCAATATTGGTGAAATTACGATGATGTGTAAATTATTACAATCGTAATATTTGTCGACACGATTTGGGACCATAAGATCAAACATTACTCAAAACATAGATACAATACAAAATTCATCAACCTACTAATACATAATTTAAAATTTTCAAGTTCTAATTCTACACACAAACACACAAAAATACCTACTTCTAAGAATCACAACATATGCATTATGCATACTAATCGACATTCGGAACCACGCACGTGTGGTCCCCACCATACCTCGTAATAGTGAAGTGGAGTTTATGAGCTTTCACCAACCCTCTCACCCACCATCTACAAGGTCTATCCGCAGTGCCATGCTTGCACACCACTTTCCAAGAATTCGGCGCATTATCCACCACTCTATACTCGCGCTTCGCAAATCGAGTGGAGTAATCCTCAACCGCACACACCAAACCATTTTTACTATTAAACATCATCCCCACTTCGAGAACACCTGTACTGCGATCGTAGGTCTTTGCCCACGGCCCTATCGGAACATCAATCGAGTCCGCGGGTATTTCCGGATAAGCCTTTGCGAAAAACTCCTTTAGAATCACTTTTTCGTTGTGGGCGGCAAGTGGTCTTTTCGCAACAACTTTTCGTTTTGATGATGCCTCCTCCACATTATTATTGTCGCCGATTGGATTTGCAACTTCTCCAATTTCTAAATTCGAATCGGAAATTCTCTTTCTTGATTCATTCATAGGATTTCCAGGATTGACATAAACCGGTGTCGAAGAACTAGCACAAGTGTCTCGAAACCCCACACCACCCACGTTAGGAGTATTAAAATTCGAGTTTAAATTAAATCGTTCCTTCGAATTAAAAGCCCCAATTTTTCCCAATCCCACGTTAGCAACATTGTCTTGTGACAAAAGTGACATATACTTGCCCCATTCATTTCTCACCGTAGGCGGTATATTAGCAATATTGCGATTTATCGATTCCCTTCTGATGAAAACGTGCATTTCGTCACAATTTTCTTCGGGATCCAAAAACATTTGAAGTTCTTCGTCATTTTTTACCTCTAAAAGCGTCTCCTTGATTCGATTTACGTATAATCGAACCCATTTGGAAAACACCCTCAAATAAAATTGAGTCTTGTCGACCTTCGTGCATTCGTACAATTTAGATAATAATTGAGAGAACAACGTTTTTCGATCGACTCTGAAGAATGTCCGAGGTGGACGATCGTATGCCACTGACCACTCATCTTGTTTTATATGACATCCTATGTAAACCATCACTGTAACCTTGGTCTTTGGCGCCATTCGATCTTCAAAATAATAACCGGAAAATAAAATATTTATTTATCAGTTACATATATTTTATTTGTTATATAAAATAGAACACATTTACTTCAAACTTTATTTAAATAAAATTATTCTTCAAAATATAATAAACACAATTAATTATAATCTTGTAAAATACAATTAAGCTTGATGAATTCTTACAGTTTTTTTTTCCTACTAAAATACTATTTTTTTTAGATATTGTTAATTAAATCTGCTCAAAGAATTTAATTTACTAAGCCAAATCTAAATTTCTACAAACTTGGGAAGTTTTCATTATTCAGCTAAAATTCTAAATTGAACTTTTAAATAATATAAATAATCTATTTAATTAATACAAAAATATAGAAACTGAGAAAAATAACCTATTACGTATATCCGAGGCGGCGCTGTGGTTAGGGCACCGGCGGCGCCGATAGTGGTGCAGCCTGCAAATATAGAAAATTACTTACAGATTTAAAAAAAAAAAAACAAGCGATAAATAAATAAACAGATAACATATGATAATTAATCAATTGAGAGAAAAAGAATTAATAAAGAAAAAATCAAACTTGTGAAATGCAGTGAGTAAATGAGTATGGAGGGAGCAACTATGAATGTGCTGTAGCAATAAATTTAATTTTCGGGATTAAAAAATGCGGTCGTCCGTTGATTTTACAACTCGTTTGATCTTAAATCAGGACCGTCCATTCTGCCTCGGGACACACCCAGACGATATTGGTCGTTAGTCAGTCTTCCCCGTGACTCTAAATTTTGGCGCGAAGAATTCTGATGCAATTTACTTGCAATTTTTAATTTATTTTTTATTTTGGTTTCCAAATTTCTTGGCTGTCGATCACTGTTCATTCTGAACAAATTAGTTTTCAAAATCGTATTTTTTTTTTTAATTTGGAAACTGATTATTTTACAATCAAAATCGACGAATTTCAAAAATTTCATTCAGAATTCCAAATAAATACGTCCAAGTAATTGAAGATCGAGTTTTGAATGACTATACATTTAGTTTTTTAGTTAGTAACATGGTCGGCTTCGTTAGATTAGTTCTCGTATTAAATTAGTCAAATTCTATGTCCATAAAATCTCTTACTCGATAAAATTAAATTATGATTTTAAGGAGGAAACTTTTATTTGTCGTGAAAGATTACTATAAATTAATAAAATATTAGCTTATAGTAGCTGATTTTAGTTTTTGCAGCGATTTTGAATAAATACAAAGCTTATTAAGAGAACGTTTTATTAGCCTCTATTATTTAGTTGCTGAAACCTAATAGTGGTATATAACAAGCCCTAAAGTTTTAGCTCGATATAATTGAATATATTTCCTATAATTATAAAATATATATATATTAGTAATTAAATTATTATAGTACAAATAAATAATAAATATTGCTGTGAAAATATAAAATAAAGAGTTATAATCGACAAGGGGTGGAGATTGATTGGCTGAGCTGTACATGTACATACAGCCAAGTACACATTGCTAAAATCCAACGGTCACAATACCACATTGAAGAAAGAGACTAATCATGCACAACAATCACCGCTTTCGTCGGGCTACATTTCTTTTGGCGCCAACTCTTTAAAAATTTACCACGTTTCCCGCCCAAAAGGAACCCGGGCAGTCCGGGCAGAACAATGCTCTGGGAAAATGGGCCTCAAGCTCAGCCCGAGTTGTAAACTGAAACATAAGCCCATCAGTTAGATTTTCATACCCAATCCCAATCAAATTTAGGGTCAAATTATATGTGGCTGCAAAAAAGTTTAAGGGTAAATTACAAACACCCCCCTGAGGTATGGCCAAATTACAAAAATACCCCTCTTGTTTGGATAATTACAACCACCCCCTCAACTCATCAAATTTAGTGGAATTTTCGAGATTATATGGAATATTATCACTTTTGTACCCGTTTTATCCCATTCAAACTCTACATTATGAAGCAAGATGACCATAATATGTGACCATAATATATCAGTTTGTGGTGCATCGGAAACTATATTTTTTACACAAAAAGAGTACAAACTAGAGCACATTTCACGGAATCTAAATGACTATGTTGAATTTGGCACCATAAAGGTGGAGGTCTAAGAAAAAATCATAGTTGAGGGGTAGATGTAATTATCCAAACAAGAGGGGGGGTTTTGTAATTTGACCATACCTCAGGGGGTGTTTGTACTTTACCCAAAGTTTAATTAGTCTAAAAATTAATTATATAACTAGAAATAGTTAATATAGTATCGTTTTTTTTTAATAACTATCTTGCTATATTGAATAAAGTTTCATGTTAAATTAATTATTTTATTATGTAGACGTTAAATATATATTTTTTTTAATTTTAAGATATAAGAAAAATAGTTTTTGTATTTGATAATTTATCTTATATTCCCATTGGAATGGAGATGCTTTAATTATATGATAGGTACCAACACGCAATTGTACGTATCGCAAACAAGTAGTAAAGTAGACTCGTGAGAGTCGGATGTCGATCCCACAGGGAATACACAAATTATTTAATCCTAAGTACCAAATTCTAACAATTGTGATTTTTATCCAGCCTACGCAGGGTTGTCAATTTAATTAACTAAATAAATTAAACTAATTAAGAAAGCAAGTAATCACGAGAAAATATCAATATAAAACGGATCTAGGATTTTATCTTCCCCTATGCGATAATTCTTCACCCAATTAATCTCCTATCATGCAAGTTACGATTCCCGATTATTAACCCAAGACACGAAATTACTCATAACCAGCTGTCGCTGCGTTATAAGCCTATTATTCATAAAAGATTCACTATATGTCTATGCAAACCTAGTATAAATAAAGCATTAAATAACAAGTCTCGTAAACGGCTACCTAAGGTATTATCTGTATGTCTACGATAATACATGCAATTAACACACTCATCCGGTGAGAACTACTCGAAGGCTCTTCTATCCCTGTTCTAATTATTAAAACGATCTGTCAACCAATTCTAACAATAACAAATAGCAACATAAGTTAGCTACGTTCATGCGCTAAATAAGATCAAGATAGAAGAAATAATCGAAGAATTAAACTTGCATAAAAGTAGAAAAATAGGTTCGAATTACCACATAGGGTTCCAATAAAATCCTAGAATAAAAACTTAGCTACTCATGTTCGTTACGAAAAACATAATAAAAATACGAAAAATCATAAAAACTAATAAAAGAGGAGAACTATGATGAAGAGTCGTCAAGTCTTCGTCTTCGTTCTTGTGCTCCTTGATTGCGTGTCGAAAGATGAAAGATAAAAACTAAAAAATAAAAGATAGAAGATCTAATTGTGTGCTTTTGGCCTTTAAATAGGGTGCAAAAATATAATAGGGCGGGTTTCCTTGTGTAATTAAAATTCCTTCACTGCGCCACCTCGACCATCCGGACGGCCGTGTGAGATTTATGCCTGAAATCCGCACGGCCGCGCGGTCTTCAATTCTTCAGAAATCTGATTTTTTCACTTTTGGCCCACTTTTTCTCCGAATTTGCAGTTTTCACCCCATAAGTTGCCAATTCTTCAATTTGCACCTAAAATACAAATAACAACCATTTTAAGCACCAATTATCATTAAAACACACCAAAAGCTCCAATTAAAAGGTAGAATTAAGTGTATAAATATACACTTAACAATAGGCTTGAAGAATTCGATGATTCTTGTAGGTGTATGTTTATCCATTCAACAAAACGGTTTTTATTATTTACACCTTCTCTTTCATATTATTTGTCTTTTTTGACAGTTTTTCTTCTTGTAAAAGTACTTGTTATTTAGATTTTTAATGAAATATTAATTGTATCATTATTCATTTTATCCTTTATCATTTTTAATTAGTTGGTTGATGAATAATAATCACTAAGTACTTTAGTAATTTTATTTGTTTGATAACTAATATTTATTCATATTTATTAATTTTCTTAATATCTGTACAACAACTAAAAACAACATATAAATTGGGACAAGCAGGATTAAGTGACGATTATTAATATTCCTAAATTTCGAATCTTCTCTTCCATTGGATTCCTCCCAAGCCTCATGTGTGCATGTATTCTCTCTCTCCTTTTTTTTTCATTTTTTATTTTATTTATTATTTATATTTAATTATAATCTACATGCATCGGATTCCTAATGATTAATATCTAATAGTTTAATATCAACCTATAAAAATAAAAAAAAAATAAAAAAAAATTACCAACCTAATTACGGCGTGTGGTTCCCTCAAGACAATTAATTTGAAAAACTTATGATCATCTATTTATTTAAATCAGAATCATTAACCAACAAGTCAATGGATTTGATTTATTGATTGGTGGACGTTGACTTAATTAATTAGCTGCGTGCTATCTTAAAAGCAAATGAAATAATAATGTTGGTCTGAAATCTAAATCTTGTATAATTGCTTGAAAAATATTGTTTTGTTATTGCATGTTCACTCTTCTTGAATCCAAGTGATATATATATATATATATATATATATATATATATATATATATATATATATATATATATATATATACTTGAACTTATACAAATTGATCTGAGCTCTTTTGGTCAAACTTATTTTAAACAACTGATTTGATCGATAAGTTCTTAAATCTGATAAATTGTGATTTTAAGAGTTGATAAGATGTCATTACTTGTTTTTTTAAATTAATTTTTGTAGTGTTTGGATGTTTTTTCGGGGGACTATGGTGGGGCGGGTATCCGCATAATGTTCACGGGGACAAGGATGAGGATACGCGACACGAATTTTTACGAGGATGAGGGATTAAAAAAAGTATTAGGGTAAATTACAAGCACCTCTAAGGTATGGTCAAATTACGAAAACCCCCTCCTGTTTGGGTAATTATAACCACCTCCTCAATTATAAATCTTCTTACACGTGCACCCTTACGGTTTCAAATTTACTGAAATCTTCGAGATTGTATGTAATATTATCACTTTTGTATCCGTTTTATCCAATTCGAACTCCACAGTTTGAAGCAAGATGGCCATAATATGTGTTTTTTGGTTTGTATATATCAGATTGTGGTGCATCAGAAATTGTATTTTTACACAAAACGGGTACAAACTAGAGCACATTCCACGAAATCTAGATGATTATTTTGAATTTGATACCATAAGGGTAGAGGTGTAAGAAAAAATCATAGTTCGAGAAGTAGATGTAATTATCCAAACAAGAGCGATTTTTTCGTAAATTAATCATACCTCAGCAGTGATTGTAATTTACCCAAAAGTATTAAGTATAATAAATACAATTTCTTAGTGAAAACAAATTAAGGAGGTACTTTGAAACTTTGTGGCAGCAGCAGATAGAGAATCCTATGATAGAACAAACTACAAAGTAATATGATCATTAATTAGAGCTTTAAATTAAGGTAAGAATTGCTAAATTCAATCTGATAAAGTTAAAAAGACTTATATCAGCTTTTTGGCAACTCTTGCAACTTATAAGCTTTTGTTTCACTGATGCTAATCTCAAGAAACTTTTTTTCTCGCTCACAACTTCTTCTGATCAACACACAATTACAGACCACAATTCTGGTCAGGGATGGTAAACGAGTCGAGTCGAGCCGACTCGTACGCTCGAACTCAACAAAATAGACTCGATGTCGAGCTTAGAGTCGAGACTGCCAAAAGGCGAAAATTTCAGTGCCCACATGAATGTTTATAGAAAATACTAGAATAATTCTACTGTTTAATGAGGAAATACTATTGTGAAAGCCACTCTATTACACAAAATATAAACACTTTTAAACTCTTGACAAATAAATATTCAATTTTGGATAAATAATTAATTACGAAAATTGCAAGAATACACATCATAATGACCTCATTCTTATCCTTCACTGTAGCTCTGATTTCTGCCACTAACTAAATTACAAATATTACAGCATGAATGTGGGCCCCAATAATCACCAATAAGTAAAAAATGAACAGTGCCTTGAATTCACCAAAATTACTACATAGGATTCTCTCTCTCAATTAAGAACCTCAATTACGCAACTGCTTGTCCTTTTTTTCCCATCACATTACAATTACTTTTCTTTTTCTTGTAAGGAAGGAAAAAATAATAAACTACGGTCACGTTAAATTACGAAAAATTCTTATTTTTATATGTCTGTTTTTACGGTGTTAAATTTAGTGGAACCTTTTAGTTTACGTAGAATATTTTTCAATTTGTACCCGTGTTACATTATACGAGCTCCACATTTTGTAACAAGATGATCATAAGATGTGTATCTTGGCTTGTAAGTATCAGATTATACTGCATCGTAAACTGCATTTTTTTCACAAAACAAATACAAACTATAGAATATTCCATCGAATATAGAAGACTCTGTTGAATTTGATACCAAAAAATGAACGTATAATTAAAGGGTACTCATAATTATTCAAATACGAGTAATTTTTTCGTAATTGCGGTTACTTCAGGGGTCACACGGTAATTTACCCAAAAGAAAAAATGGTACTTGGTGTCCAAGGAATAACAATTTTTTGATGGATATTTGTCCAATGGTCAAAATCAAGATTTGTCAAGTAAAATTTTAACTTTTTAACTGTGTTGCCTTTGTTGGATTAGTCACTGTTTGCTTGCATTTCTATGCACGCACGTGTTCACTTGTCAGTGTGGTGATGAAAAAGAGAGATCTTTTTTCTTTTCTTTTTTCTTCTTTCTTTTTATTTATTATTTTTTGGATGTCAATTTTTAGTTTTCATTATTCTACTAATTGAATCCAATTCTTGTATGAACACAAAGATTGAACTTTCTTACACAATTGAAGCTAATTAAATCAGAATGACACCATTAAGTAAACGATTAAGTCCTCGTTTGGTTCTCAAAATAAAATTAGTCAACATAAAATTAAACAACAATCTAACGAAAATTCAAAATGCATGATAACATAGTATTTTTTGGATCGATTCAGAAATTCATTCAATTTACTAAATATCAAATAAATTTCAATTATTTAATTAATCATAGCTAATCTTTTTAAGTATGTAATAGTGTTGTAGAATAAACATCTCAAGGAACAAAAAAATGAAGCAAAATATTGGAGAAAAAAAAACAAATAAAAAACCAAACTTTGATCTTAGAAAATAAAAATCCATACTAATAATTAGTGTATTTATACATCCCACTTAACCCTAAACACTACCACTAAACACTGACAAAACAAAATCTAATGGGACCCACTAAAAAAACTAATAACAAATACAAAGAGGAAATAAAAATCTAATTTTTTTTTTTTTTTTTTAATTTTTTTTTAATCAATTGGCTCGCCCAGCATGGCAGATGAACACTGATTCCAAATCTGGAGGAATGAAGAACTCTATAGCTCCGTTAACATGGCAAGTTGAAGCGGGGCGGCGCTTCCTCGGCGCCGGCGGACACGACAGCTTTTCCGGCAGCTTCGACTCACGCGCCGTCGGGGTTGTGGAACCCGCCGCGCGTGCAAAATCTTCGCCGCCGTCGTCGTCGTCTTCTCTGGGCTTTGTAGATATGGGTTTCAACGGCGACCGGATTGCTATTCCGGCGATAACCCATTTCTTGACTTCTGATTCTTTGCCCACTTCAATTTGGTGTTTCTTCGAGAAACCCATTTTGATTTAAGCCAAAAAAAACACAAGCAATTGGTAAAGTGAGAGAGAAAAGGAGATTTAATTTTGGAGGGTTTTGTTTTTTTTTGCAGAAACTTTGAACGAGAGAGAAAGGAGAAGTGATGGCGGCAAAATGAGAGGGGAATTTTGTGCTTCAAATAGGGGTTTTATTTTTTCTTTATAGAGAGAGAAAGAAGAGAGAGAGAGAGAGAGAGAGAGAGAGAATAGAAAAAGGGGGAATTTATTTTTTGACCTAATATGTGTGGGAATTGGGAATTGGGTGGAACTGGTGATTTTCTCTCTCAAGCTGCCCGTGAAAATATTCGGGCAGCTGAAAATCAGCGATTGGGGGATTTTGGCGCCACTTTTTGGTGGTTTGATATCAACGGCTCTCATTCCCGCCCATTTTTCGCAGCTGTTTCAGATTTAAATAAAATTGGGATTGATTTGTTGTATCCGACGTCGTTTATGGGCTTTGGGCTTTATAGTAGTGTTTTGAGTTAGATTTGGGCTAAATTTGGACTGTATATTTAGGCCTGGAGCAAAAGGTACTTTTATTTAAAAGCCCATTATTCATTCTAAAGAAAAACTTTTCCTGTATTTGCATTTTTATTTTTCTAACTGATTAATGTTTTAGAATATTGAATTTTTTTATAACAATTCTCTAACTTATGCAAATTAAATTTTTTGATTGATGGGGTTCAAGTTGGATAATTCGAGAGTCCTTTGAGCTAGAGAGTTGACCGAAACTCGGAATACCATATCCGTTAAAGCTTAAGTCCAAATAATTGGGCCCGAATCCATCAGGCCCAAGGCGGCTAGCCCACTGAAGGGCTCGCCTTTCATCCCGACTGTCGAGGTTGAGATTGGAACGTAATGCCGAGTATATGGTCCGGCACCCTGAATGATGCATTTAATGATGTGACTCATGCATGTATTACGATAACACTAGCATTTAATGTTGGGTGTCCGTCGAGGGAGATGTTATAACTCATGTACTGACCGACTAATCTAATGATGATGATTATATTGTCCGAATTACCATGGGACGTGCGGCGAGTTGATAAGAGCGACGAGATGACACAATTCAATCTAGTTTTGGAGGAAGATTCGGAATCGGGTAAGAGGTAATTAATTTATCATAAAATGGGTCAAGATTTTCCATAACTCATATACTCAATACATTTTCTTCACAAATCCTTCAACCAACGTACCTAGGAATCAACTGACTTGGCCGTCAGAGTGCTAATTCCAACGTCAGTTTGAATATTCTTCTTTTCCAGGTCGAGTGAGCCTAGAGGAACACTTTTTTTCAATGTTTTTTAAACCGGATCGGACATCGACCCGGCCAAGCTACCGGGTCACGGTTCGACCGATTCAACCGGGGTCCAACCGGATTTCTTACTTATATATATATATATATATATATATATATATATATATATATATATATATATATATATATATATATATATATATATATATATATATATATATATATATGTGTATATATATAAATATTTATATTGTATATTTTTATATTTGCTTCCCACTTTCATCATTTATTATCCAACTCACTCCACTTGTTTTACAAAAATATAATTTAAAATTATTAATTTTCTCCTCTTCTCACTCCTCTCTCTCTCCTCTCCTCTCCCCCCTCTTTCACTCCCCTTTCTTCTTCCTCCCGTCTTCAGAGGCCCATCCCCTTCTTTCTTTTATTCTCTTTTATCTATGTTTATTTTTAATTATCTCCATTTCCACCCAGACTTATACTCTATTTTCTCAACTTTTTTTTTCATTTTTTTCTTCATTTTCACTTTCACCTTCTTCGTTTTCTTTTCTTCGGTGAAAATCTATGGCTGCCAGCAATTGGATTTGGTCACTACTACTCAGATCCGTCTATATCCGTTCACCAACAACCTTTTTCGACAAGATTATGTCACTCACGACCACCATTGACATAGATCCGGCCATGAATTTTTTTTAGCTAAAAACCGGTTTTGGGACTGGGTTCCGGGTTAACCGGTTCTTACCCGTCAAACCGGGGTTTTGGCATTTGACCCAGGTTTTTGGGCTTTTTGGTTTTTCACATCTAACCGGACCGAACATGGCTGCGATTCGCAGTTGAACCGGTCCAACCGGCCGATCCGGTCCGGTTTTCAAAACATTGCTTTTTTTAATTTCCAGTAGACCTAGCTCCCAAGAGAAGTCTCATCCTCTCCTCGATGCTTGGCGAATGGATCATGGAGAGTCACTGCATACAAGGTCTCACGTTGAACGAACAAGGGTAGTATTGGGTTTTCATCCTTTTCCCCAATATGTTTTACAAATGGTAAAAATAAAGTTTTCATCATCTAAGTTTGCAGTTTGCACCGATATCACATCTGGTCCTCCATGTTCGCAAAAAAAAAAGAAGAAAAAGAAAAAACACACGCGCACACACATTTGATCTCTCTTTTTCATAAAAAAAACATTTTCGCCAATTTTTCGTTAATAACTTAATACTAACAGAATCAAGCATGTGGACATCAGTACCTAATTGACTAACGATAAATGAACAGAAATGACTAAAAATGTTAAATTACTGAAACATAAGGGGACCAAATGTATTCTCCATAAACATGGGGAATCAAATGTGAAATCGGTGCAAACTTGAGGGACGGAAACTGTAATTTATCCATTTACAAATTAAACCATTCTTAATGTATGCTTTGTGGCTGCATTAATTTTTGGCATATTTTAGTTCAAATAAAGAGCATTGCACTATTCTGAGAAAGTAGGGTTCACTGCTTCACATGTGGTCATCATAATTACACAATTATGCCCCTAGCAAACTTTTTTGGCCCAAATTGGACATGCCCAAACAACTTCTAATAAATTATTAAAAAATAAATAAACCGTGCTTCTTAAAATGTTGCACCTCTGATTGCATAAATACTTTCCAATGACATTTGATTAAAATAATTCAATCAAAACCTAATATATATATTTTAGTAATCCACGCCAAAAGAAATAACAATAATATAACAATTTATACATACTCCATTATGTGGAATAATCGGCTTCCTAATGATTAGCAGCATACTTGTTGATTATGTCTAATATTATTCCTCCAAATTAAATTATAAACTAATTAAATTTATATTCATTGATTAAAATCTCATGGTTTAATTAATTAATTAACAGGGTACGTACCAATAACTATTACTACACAGAGCTAATTATTAATTTGTCCTAAAAAAAAAAAAAATTTCTGACATAATACTCATTATACATGCAACTTGTCGACATGTCGGCGAGGAACAAGAGAATAAATATGAAAATTAAATTAAATTAAATAAAAAAAAAAAAAAAAAGAAAAAAGAAAAATAGCAGTAAAGTTGGAACCATGTTTAATTGTTTGTCTGATTTATTTGGGGATCAAAGTCTTGTGAAGTAGCCAAATATTGACCTAGCTAGATTTACATGCATGGAAAATCTTGTGTTTTATTTGTGGGCTATATCTATCTATCTATCTATCTCTATATTTGCTGACAGGCCAACTGTGTGTGTGTTTGTGTGTGTTTAATTTTATTCAATAATACAAAGTAAATAGTGAAATGCAATTGAGATATATATAGACTTCAGTTGTACAGTTGAATTGAATTATGACTACCTGACAAATTAAGATCGACTTACAGAGGAATATATTGCATATATGATATATATGTCCATTCAAAATGCACACACTCACACACATTATTTTTTCACGTATGGGAGACTTTTGTCCCCCATATGTTTTTTTTCCCTCTATTTTCATTAATTATTTTAATTCACTCAATTCAGATATGGAATATAATCAAGAAGCTGATTTTTATGGATATATTCATATATATATATATTATATATGGTATCGAATGTTAGGCAGAAGGAAGTATATATATATATATATTTACCATTCATATACGTACACACAAATCCATATTGGTATGTGCGGATCAACGGTAAAAATCCATCTGATGTAGCAAGTTCCACCTAACGACTGCTGACAATAGAATTGTATTCGAACATGAGTAAATTGAGACAGGTTAATAATTTTATAATATCTATATATAAATAATGGCAGAGGCTTTAGCTAGTTGCACCATTATATTCACACTCTCTCTCTCTCTCTCTCTCTCTCTCTCTCTCTCTCTCTAATCATATGCTTCACCTTTAAGATATATAAATATTGGAGGTTAACTATTTGTCTCCTGTCTCAATAATATTGCATCTAGCTAGGGTTTTCATTTTCTCTTTACTCTTTCAGCATTTTCTTCAACTCAAAAAACTTGCACATTTATTTTCATGGCTGCTGATAATTAGCTGGATCAACCTTAAAACAATCATGGGCGAATTGTCTTTAATTGATTATCAAAGCCTATTAAAATCCAGATTATAAATTACTACCATTATTTTCCCCTTTTTTTCTGATTTTTTTTTTTTATAGAAAACCCTTGTTGATTGATCTTCTTTTTTCTTCTGAATATCGTCGGACTTCGATGTTGATCTTGATTGGATCGGATCATCATATTTGCAAATTAATTTGATAGATCTACAACAGGAGGTAAGAATATTCTTGATTCCTTTCTACTTTAATTTCATATGTATATATACATAGATCCATCCATCCATAGTTATTATTTATATACTGATTATTCTGTGTGTGTATATATATGTTCAAAAAAAAAAAAAAAAATTTATGTGGCTGTGAATTTTGTCAACAAATTGTAAGGCTTTTGTTTTTTGAATTTAATTTTGAGTACACGAATTCAGGACTTACATCGATGAAGATTTAATACATATATAATACACGTCAAAAACCTCATAATTAATTAATTTCCTTATGGTAATTTTGTTTAATTAATTACGTCTTCAACCCAAATTCCTAATTCAATAACAATTTATGATTTTCCAATAACTCAAAAGATCAAGAAAATATTTAAACTTTTTCTAATATTAAATAATTTATTTTCCTTGATATATATATAGCACATATATATATAGATATATGCATGTTGGTATATATGTTTCTTGTTTCATCCTCAATCACAACATATTATTATACGTGTAATTGTGCTTATAAATATAGATTGATTTAATAATTCCACATAATAATTAATTGATGAAATGAAATAATTTAATTTGCAGGTGGAATATATTATATATATATATGGCTTCTTCTTCTTCTTCTTCTTCGTCAAGTAGCTACTCAAACCCTCCGTGCGCAGCGTGTAAATTCCTGAGGAGAAAATGCCAGCCGACACTGTGCATCTTCGCCCCGTATTTTCCGCCAGAGGACCCCACCAAATTCTCCAACGTTCACAGAATATTCGGTGCCAGTAACGTCAGCAAACTGCTGAATGACATCATGCCTCATCAGAGAGAGGACGCCGTTAACTCCCTGGCTTACGAAGCCGAGGCTCGGCTCAAGGACCCTGTCTACGGCTGCGTTGGAGCCATTTCCCTTCTCCAGAGCCAAGTCGCTCAGCTCCAGAAGGAATTAGACGCCACTAATGCTGATTTAATGCGTTTTACCACAATTAATAATAATAATAATCATGGGCGGGTGGCGGGTTATGGGGGTGGATCCGACCCGAATTATTCCGGGTTCTCTTTGCCGTATTCTAATCCGGGTGGAGAAGATGCCAATTACAGCTAATTAATATCTGATATATTGTGTGTGCTGTTGTATCTATTCTTTTGTCACGTGTACATGAATGTTGTTTTTTTTCCGTGCACGTGCGATTGATAATTAAGGATGATGGAATAAGATTTGAAATGTAAAATGTGGGGGAATATTCATTAATTGTTAAAAAATCCTCTTTTATTTAGTATTAGCAAAACCTTCCAATGTAATACAATTGTTTTAGAAATGTATCCCCAAAACCTCTTCATTTGGTCCATTTGGAGGACTATGCGGTAACAAAAATTCCATTAGCGGGGGATTTGTACTATTGTTAATAAAATGAGGACTTTTTAACAAAATTCTGTATAATAGAGAGATACCAAATGGCAAATACAATGAATTAACTCGTGTGTATATCATATATATATTAACTCCTCGTGCCGTATGGTTGATTAGTAGATCATTCGTACTAGGAAAATCCCGTTCTCGTACAATAATCGAAAGTAAGAGCAAAATTCGTTCAAAACCATGCACTCGGTGGATATATGCTTATAAAATGGTTTACATTCGCCCCTACGTTCGGTGTGTTACACCAGATACAACATCTCATATATACATCGCAAGAGCGTGTGTACGTCAATGGAGAGAGAGAGAGAGAACATCTCATACATCGCAAGAGCGTGTGTATGTCAATGGAGAGAGAGAGAGAGAGAGAGAGAGAGAGAGAGAGAGAGAGAGATTTTGAAGGAAGGCTGGATTTTTCAAATTTCTAGAGAGAAGTAGCACCTCCTTTCATATATGAATGTCTCTGTCTAAAACAGTAAGAAAATCCAATGAAGATTTTATATCACATGTGAACCAACATTGAAACCTACAGAACTTGCTTCAATTCCTGCTAATTACTTATACTACTACTATCTTTATTTCTAATCTTCCAAAAAATATTATACAAATGTATATATATTTATTTATAAGGGTAACATCATGTTTTTGACTATTTCTTCACATTAAGGTAAAAAGTAAAGGACAATCTTTCATTTCACAATTTTCTTATTGGAGATAATGTACTAGGAGAAATTCTTGATTTTATACTTCATACAATTTCTTGAGCCCAGCAACAAATTGAACTAGAAAACTTCTTACCAAAATCAATCGGTTGGAGCAAGTGAGCATGTGTCAATTGACTTAAGTATAAATTCTTTGCTGACGGTCGCTAGGCCGAGCTTGTCATCCATGGTTAGCCTAGTCTGGTCTGATTTATATCTCTCGCATGATTTGCAAACTATTATACGAGAGTGTAGGTTTACCTAATGACCTATATGATTTACAGTTTCCTTCCCAACCAAAAAAATAATAATATTCGATTATGAGTTGAAAGTAGATTCTTTCTATACAAAATATAATATTAATTTTCAAAAAAAAATCCAAGAGAATTATGAAGATCTCACTACTCTTAATTAAAGATTTAAATCCAAGCAATTACAAACAATAAGTCTCATCAATCAGTCTCCGGGGATGGGCCATCTTAACCGTCCAAAAGTACCCCCATTCACTAAGTAGGCCCAAATCAATGGTGATTGATTGATTTGATGTGCTTAAAAAGCCATTTTAACACAGTTTCAACCAGCAAATTTCACTATTGGAGTGAGACAATAAATTATCTTTCCCTTTTTTTCTTTTCTTTTCTTTTCTATTCTATATTTTGCCACGTTTATCTTTTGGGATGTGATATGTTATTTAGTTATAATAATACGGTTTTGGCTTCTAATTAACGTGATTTTGATCATTTCGTAGTTCGAATTTGTAAAATTTAAAACATCAAAATTTAAAGTTCTTTGAGTTAGATTTCTAATTCATCTTGAATCATCAAGATTGAATGTCTGGAAAGAAAGATATACACGTATCACTGAACATTGCCCATAAATTCAAAGTTTTGCATGAAATTTAAAATATAACTCATTCATGCATAATTTTGTCACCATACATCTAATCTAGCTGGTGAAAGTTAGATCAGAAAGCTAATTCAAAGAACTATAACCTTCGTCTTTTGAAATTTGCAAAAACTGGACTATAAAATGGTCAAAATTACGTTCGAAGATGAATTAATACATTTTGAATTATGCATAACTCATTGCGCCCGTGGTGTCCTCTAATTTTGTTTATTTTGATAATACATTTATTCATCGTTTGATTTCAATATAAGTATACTTTCGTGAAATTGGAACAATATTTGGCATCCCGGATTCGTTTTTCTTTCTTCCCGAAATTTAATCAATCGGAATCAAAATAAATATGAGATTCTGATTTTCGGTCCGACTTTAATTTTAAAAATAATTAAAAAATTATGATTTTACTCCGAAAATTACATTTTTCATATTATTAATTAGTGTTATACAATTAAATTTTAGGTGACTTAAAATTGAATTTTTTCAATCCGCAGATTCCGATCCGAAAATTTCTAATTTTTTCAACCAATTTTCCAAAATTCCAATTGAAAATCGGCCACATTGACCGTGGTTTCGGCCCATTAGTAGAGTTGAGCTGACCCAGAAATTTAGCTCAAGCAGCCCAATTTATAAAAATTGGGCTAACTTTCAATATAAAAATTTGTATCCAATTAAAAAAACTAATAATAAAAAAAAAAAGAATAGTGGCAGGTGAAAATGCAACATGTATATCATGCAAGCACTCATCTCAAAACGTCACACATGCAAACCAACACGTAGCACTATTCCCCTCTCTTTTTATACCTTCTTTCATTACCCCCTTCTTCCCATTAATATTCATCTCTCTCTATTTTTCCCACTCACTAAACTTTCTCTCTCTAAAAAAGAAGAAGAATACTCTCTCTCTCTACATATCATCATGGCAGACCGCGGCGGCGACCGTCCACAGGCGCACCAGATCCAAATCCACCCCCACACTCAGCCGCAGCACCGCTACGAAGGCGGAATGAAAAGCATGCTCCCTCACAAAGGCCCCTCCACCGGCCAGATACTCGCCATTGTAACCCTCCTCCCCATCGGCGGCTCTCTCCTCGGCCTCGCCGGACTCACCCTCGCCGGAACCCTAATCGGCCTCGCACTCGCCACCCCTGTCTTCCTCATCTGCAGCCCCGTTCTCGTTCCGGCGGCCATCCTGCTCGTCGGAGCGGTCACCGGATTCTTGACCTCCGGCGCTTTCGGGCTGACCGGGCTCTCGTCGTTTTCGTGGCTGTTCAACTCGTTCCGGCAGGCGACCGGGATGGAGCCGACGGAGTACGCGCGGCGGCGCCTCCAGGAGGGGATTGTTCAGGTGGGGGAGAAGACGAAGCAGGTGGGAGAGATGGTCGGAGATAAGACGAAGCAGACCGGAGAAGCGATAAAGTCGAAAGCTCAGGAAGGCGGCGGAGCACAAGGAAGAGAAGCTGCTGGTCGTACTTGAATGAAGCAGAAGAAAATAATAAAATAATAATAATAATAATGATGATTATGTTTTTATTTGTAATCTACTTTTGTTGTTAAGTGTTTTTTATTTTGTTTGTGTTTGAAGGTGTACTGTGTGAATTTTTCCAGATTTAGTTTTGTGTCTATTTGCTTCTGGTTTCCAGTTTTACAGTACTAAGAATAAATAATTATATATGATATGGTATCAATAATTATCACAAGCTTGTTGCAGAAGCTAGTGTGATATTTTATAAATAATTAGATAATTATGTATCTCTATTTCATACTTAATTAATCTAATAGCTTTCCACAATATATACTTCAAATAAATTGCTCTAGTTTAATTCTCTAATACAACTAATTTTATTTTATTTACTTTATTAATCTACTAGTACTACACCCGTGCGATGCACGGTAAATACATAGTTCTACTTTTCTATAGAGAAAAGTATATAATTGTAATTGACCATTGAATAAAAACATCTTAATAAACCAATTAAATGACAAAATTCTTTATAAACCGCTTTAAAAATGTCTCATAAATGTCATTACCCATTCACTTCTTAATAAAGTACCCAATACCACTACTACGATAGCAAAAAGTATATGATAACTATTAAATAACATGAATAGTTATGCTTAATGCTTACCATCAGCGAGTTTTGAACGATCGAAAATCTAATCAGAAGTCATGCAATTCAAGCCACACGACTTTGTTGAGCAGAGAAAACACACTTCTAATTGTTTGCCTAGAGGGAAACTTCCTGCAACCGTGCGTGTTGAGTCTGCTATTGCAAGTTGCGTTTATTAACATTAACTATAGTTTCTCCATCTATTTCCAAATTTAAATTGTTGGTCAATTTATTACTTTGGCTTCTTCAGCTGCCACATTTGCTCGGTCTCCTCAATTTTCATCTTCTTTATCTTTCAACGCTTGCACTAAATAAAAAAACATAAAAATATTGCCTATCTACAAAGCAAAACAACGACATCTAAAGATTCTAAAAAATTGAACCATGTAAATATATTGCATCAACAATCGTGAAACATGCTTCTGATCCAAGGCCGACAGCCCTTGAGTGAATCTTGGTTCCCGTTTCTAGAGAAGACCTTATTCGTGAGGTTCAATATACTTCGATAGAAATAAAATTCCAACAACGAAAGGCTTCTAACTGGTACAAATTAAAATTGAAAAAAGAGATGTTTGACGATTAAAAAAACCGACAAATTCAAAATCCTCACCATCAGATTTATCTTGAACTTCTTTTTATTTCATTGAGTTCCTGGATTCAAAAAGAGAGAAACATTCCGAAGATTAGCCCATATGAAAATTTCAAACAAAAATGAAATCTTACCACTCTTGAAAAGTATCAAATCTTTGCATACTCCATTCTCTCTCAAGAGGCCCTGTTGGGGGTTTCATGCTGGAGATAATTGGAGGTGACGGCTGGACATTAAATCCGATTTGTTCCACCAAAGGAAGTTACATTTCCAAGCTGGAAAAAAATGTTAATAGTCCAATCTTGCCATATACAATAGATCGTAGTATTAAATCAGGTGGTTAGTGGAATAGTGTCTTAGCCAACAATAATTAAAAACACAAAATAACCTGGATTTTAAAAGGTTTGGAGCGCAATAAATGTAGCAATTTGAAGGCTTGTATTTTGGCACCTGTTAACAGAAAGTTCCAGAAGATAATCAAGATGAAGCAAAAGTTAAAACAAATAAAATAAATCAGAAAACATTTAATAGAGGATTGACATAACAGGGGAAGAACAAAGCCTCTTCTATAGATAATTTAAGAGGATTATCACTGACATAAATACACGGAAGAACAAAGTACAACACACATATATTACGACGCTTGATGATGATGATGATGATGATGATGATAGAATAACCGTAAGATAGAGAAAGAAGATGTTTAATCAGAGGTCTTTTCTTAAATGTTGGCAAATGAAAAACTGTAAAACGAATATTACAAACATACCTTTAGGAGTCTAAAAATTAGAAAGACCCAATCTCTACACAATCTTCTTTTCGACTTTCCATGTACCGGGGTTGGATAAAATTCATACTTTTCTTAAGTTAAAAAAAAGGGGCCTGCTGCACAAAATTAAACTATATTAAGACATATTAACACATATATAGCAAAGGACAAACAATACAGTGAAGTCATTGCATAGATGATCGGAGTTCCCGGGCATATTGTGATCGAAAGTGTTTCCCAAAAAGAAGATAAAAACACATAAACTTGAAAAAAAGATTTCCCAGAAACCGCTGCTCCATCATCGTCATCATCATTGATGTCCGATAATTTTAATAACATCATATAAAACTACTACCGGTGCAAACAAAATTAAAAAAAGAAAAAAAAAATCATAAGCGATTGGAGAACTCAAATTATAAGGAAGAAAGCCTCAAATTTAAATACATATTGAATAACTATAAGCAAGAAATCTTCAAATTTCGTCCAAACACACCCAGTCCAAACTCATTAAATTTTCTCGATTGCCTCGATCAACCAAATTCCTGGCCTCTGATACAATCACATTCCTTTGAAGAAAGAAGAAAATTGCCTACTTGGGACAAAATCCTACTTCATTACCAAACAAATAAAAACACAGAGAACCTTAAAAAAAAAAACCCAATAAATTTGAACACTGATTATGAATCACCTCTTGACGAACATTTTGTGGTAGTAAAACTACAGTTTGAAAAATTCATGCGCCCAAACAAAATTCAATAGTTAAAAGCAGGATAATAAAAACACAAAACAATAAAATATAATTTTCGGCAACCACTGAGAGACTGTGGACGAGACTCGATCAATCCTGGCAACGTTTAGAGTTCTATTGAAATAACATCACTATACCATGATACCAATGTCAGCAAATGAATTAGATAAAAAGCTTACTTGTGTAGTATAGCCACTAAATTATTTTCCATGTGTCATCTTCAATTCATATCAGTGATAAAGTCAATGCAACAATTAGCAGAAGAATGTGCAACGTATGAACAAAAAGTAACCAAAGAGAATCATCAAAAGAAGCCAATATATGGTATCGATGTTAATTAAAACAAAACTGTTTAACCACTTAAAATAATTTGTGGAAAGAACTAATGCAAAATTTATTATCATAGTTTTGGCTTGAAAAGGACACAAATGCAACCGTATATTGGGCACAAACAAATACTTGTAGCGGAAGATTATCATGAAAAACTGAAGCGTAAAATGCCTGGTGACTAATGAGCCTTGTGGAAAGCAAAAACAATCAAAATAGGCAGAAAACAGAGAAAAGGGGTGAAACTTTGAAGAATTTATGGTCAATTTCTGGGAATAATTAATTTTTTAAAGTTTTTTGTGTGCGATTCTTTCAGGCGCTCGTAATTTAGAATTTCGGTTGGTATGCATATATGATGTCAAATTTGAATTGAGAAGATATAAGCAGAAGTGTAGAAGAATTGATGATAATAAGTAACGGAAACAAAAATGTCGGAGAAGTTGCGTTGCAGTTAGAGGATACGAACGGGTTTTATTTATTCTAAAATAGTCCTAGGACTATCACAAAATTATAAAAACTGCCCTAGGGTTTTAAAACCCTAAATTGCCACGTGTCAGAATATGAGGCAAGGTATTGTCTTTTTATATATATATAGATTACCGAACAGGTGGTTAGGTTAGATGCAACACCAAATAACTAGGTCATATATATATATATATATAAGGTGAATTAAGGTGAATTTGAGCCGTAAATTTGATTACATAACTATTTACACTTATATTAGGTCATTTATATAAGGGGAATTTGAGCCGTAAATTTGATTAAATAACTATTTACACTAAGCAACTAAGCAAGCACACATATATGGGTATGTGTGATTATGTGACGATTCAAATCCACCCAGTGTTAATAGTGTTAATAACCATGTGTAGAAGTCCAGTTCAACTGATAATCAACACGAACACAAACAGATTAATGTTTCGTACTTTATCATTTTTCCCACTCGAGTTTGAGGAGTTGTGTTCAAATTTGGTTCGTTGGATTAACAAACCGAGTTCGAACAAGCTTCTATAACCGTGAATCGTGCAGATTGGTTTGATTTCAATCTCCACCACGCCTATCGTCTCGATTCAATTTGTTTCAGCTATCATTTCTTTCAAGAGAGAGAGAGAGAGAAGGGTAAAGGGGAGAACAGAGTAGATATCAATATATCATGATTAGGAATTCGAAAGAAAACCAAAAAAAAAAAGTAGTATTTTTACGTTTATAATTTAAATTGTCGGAGGAGCGTCGTTAGGAATCCAGAAGGTGAGGACGGAAGAGGAAGCGGCAGCAAACATAACTCTGCGAGGAGCCCATTTCAGGCACGACGTAACTCCTATGTAGCTATCCAACGACGCAATCTGTCCACGTCAGCAAATCAATTTTGTTGACGTGGAAAAAAAATTAAACTGAATTAAAACCTCATTTTACTATAGATTATTTTATTGGCTGCATTTCTATATTGTTTTGCAGTTGCTAAATTACCTTATTTGGTTCATCACTGATGTTCCATGCATGTATATTTCCATCCCCTGAACCTGGAATTAGGTTAAACACCAATTTCGGTAAGACGGAAAAAAAATAATGTTACAGAACAGCTTTAATAGAAGAATCAGACAATATTTATCCCCTGAACCTGGAATTAGGTTAAACACCAATTTCGGTAAGACGGAAAAAAAAAATGTTACAGAACAGCTTTAATAGAAGAATCAGACAATACCGAAACCGACACACATCCACAGGAATCTTGGGGAAGAAAATTATTTTTAAAAAAATGCAGCCATAATTAATACGAAAATCCAAATACCAATTGCATAGTAAACCATAGTGACTCCAATTATGAAGAAGATTAATTTCGAGAATGACCAATTTGATGATCCGGATCATTATCCAGAAGATTTAAAGACTTTTGCTCGTGCCTTACCTTCTATTACGTCTAGTTCGGTAGCTAAAAAGGGTGGACGAGTCTTTCCTAAATTTGGTGGTGATTTTAGCACCTGTTTAGTTTACGTAGGTGCTTGAATTTTGTTTGTAATTTACAATTTTATCATCTAAAAAATTGTTCATTGCCGATAAAAAGAGATTGATTGCATATATTAAAAGAAACGCAAATCTGTCATAGATGCTGTACCAGAGAGCACATATTTGCCATCGGGGGTGAAAGTCGCCTCTATGGTTGCATTTGGTGACGTATCCATGCTAAATCCACACTTCTGAAACACCCAAAAATTTAAACCATTTCAAGACTTCAGCACAACAACGTATTCACAAATAATTATTCACAAGATTTGATGCAACGAAGACGCGATTGAAAAAAGTAATTCCAAGATATAACTGACCTTTTCTCCATGATAAGCATCAAGGAGATAAACATGGTTGTTTGTTGTTGTCAAGAGCATCGATTTACCGTCATTACTGAATTTAATATCACACACCTCAGCTGTATCACCACCAACTAGAAAAGTGTCAAACGGACCCTGGAAAATCGAAAAATGAATTATATAGGAAAATAATATATAAGATTGTAACTTAAATGACCTACTAAACTCTAAACTACGTACCTTGTCAAATGATCTGGAATCGAATAATTTGATGGCACCTCCTTCCATTGCGACTGCAAAGACCAGTCCTTGTTGATCGTAAGCAACAGTAGGTCTACCTCGTAGATGTAAAATTCCCTGAAAGCTACATTAGTGAGCACACATCAGATATGTTCGTTTGAAGCAAAACAATCTTTCGTTTTCCCACAATTCCAACAACCATAACATATTCCCTTAGTTTAGAAATTTCAAAATCTAACATATATACGAGAAAGTGGATTTTCTTGAAATCGACATAAACATGTTGGCCAAAGTCATTTACTCAATCAACGCAAAACCAACATATAAAATGATAGATAGTCCAGTCAATTCTTGAAATCACTTTAAACATGTTAGCCATAGTCATTTATTTCATCAATGAAAAATCAACATATGAAAATAAACAGATTTTCCATTCAATTTAATAGCATTCTTACTAAACCAATGCAAAGTAAGAATGGGATTAACCAACCTGACAGGCATTCACACGAAGATCCCACATGCGCACACTGTGATCCAAAGAACCAGACATGAAGCCATCATTAACTGGAGACATGCACAGAGACACTACCCTGCAATTATTAACACATAAGATTTCAGTAGAATAACCAGTATCACCAAGAATATTATTTTCATAAGCTCAACCTAAAACTCGACACACCGACCAAGCACATTGAATAGACGAAACTCTAATTTTACGCCCTTAAGTTCTGTAGTTCAATGCATGGATGTGTCTCTTCCAAGATCAAATTCTGCTCGGTAATAATATCAAAAACTTTTTACTTTCTTCCAATATATGAAATATATGCTTCTCAAGTGATCACACTCTTTGAACTCAAATCATTCCGTTTAGCTATTCTATGAATTAATAACAGAAAAGCAGAGGATCCTACTCTGCATTTCCATTTCTTCCACTTATTTAAGTTCATTTTTCTAGCAACACTTTTATTCAACGATAAAAAGAACAAATAGCAAGGTGAATTCCCAAGACAAGGTAAAGGCGAATCACCAGAAATCCCGAATCCACTTCATTATGCCACATCCTGTATTACCACATTACTCCCATCAAAACGGGACTTCGTTTACAATTTTTAACCAAAAGTGCATTCTTGTGAAGCTAGGTTAATAGAGGCTAATAAATCATTATATTTCACTTATATATTCTAAGTCACCGCAAAAGAGAAGTGCAATAGTTCCAACAACATCTAATTAAGTCATGCAACCTTACCTCTCTTTGTGCCCCTTAAAGTATCGAAGGCACCTATTGTCGTACACAGACAGATACCTCAAAGATTCTGGCAATAAATCAAGAAAAAACATATCAGAATCAGATTGTCATACAATTAAATACGACCATCAATATGTACCTAAAGCAAATCACCTTCATGGTTATCCAAATTGTGTTTTGAAGAGCATATAACCGAGCTCGGGTGGTGCGTAAAGCATATCCGATCAGCCCCATGTTTCTTATGATAAGTCGTTTTCAGCAATCTGAATCAACAAAAATCCATCAACACAAAAAATAAAAGTAATAAAATAAAAAATAAATAAATAAATAAATAAATAAAATGAAAATGTCTTACTTAGCACTCGAAATGTCATAGAATCGGACTGAATCGTCGTCACACGACGTCACTAACAAATCAGCAGTCCGATGGAAATCGATCGAATTAATTTTCCCTCCCTGAAAATGCATGCAAAATTTCTTCATTACAGAGTTATAATTAATGCATTAAATTATTTTTTTCTCATCAACCCAATACATGCAATTACAGGAAAAATCAAATTATGCCGATAGCAGCTGTTTTTACTGACAGCACAAAACCTCGAAACATGCACCAAAAAAAAAAAAGTTTAAAAATCAACAATTAAAAGAAACAGGTGAATAAAGAGAAGAACTGACGAAATCTGAGAAGACAGCACCGACTGACATGCTACGAACGACGTCGTCGTTGAGCTCCGATAGAGTCGTCATCTACGGCGGCGATTGGGTAGAGAATAAGTGGCGGGAAAATTGGAATCAAGAGAACTATGCAGCGATTTCAGAAGAATCGGAATACAAATTGTCCGGGAAATTGCTGTATTTTGCTGCTCTGATTAGGTTAGGGTTTATGTGGAATTTTGTCTTTTTTTTTTGCCCCCCTTTTCTTATTCATTTCATTTAATTATTTATTTAATACTTATTGTTTGGGCTTGCTGAGAATGTAAAAGGCCTTGGCCTCCCACACCTACTCATTTATTTGGGCCATTCTATATTATTTGGATTTATGTAATACATTTATTTAATTTTAATTAAGGGAATGAATTTATTAATAAATATTTTATTTATAACTCTTATCGGTACCCATATCTTGAATTGTATTGAGGATTTTTTTTATACATAATACACTTGAACCTCGATAAATTAATATTCGATAAATTAATAAAATTTTGTTAGTTTCGACTATATTAATTTATGGAGGTTTATATGTACATTAATATAATCTCACTTGAAATCCTTTCTCATATTCTTTTCATAAATCCAAATGCAAACTAAAGTAATCGATTCCACGAATTTTATCGATCAAGTGTAAAAATAACTACACATCATATATGAATTTTAGATAACCGAAATTTAATTTTCAAGAGATCTTAATTAATTAGTAATAACATACATTGATCTCAAGTATAACTCATGGAGTTCGATATAATCAAATAAGCGTGAACCTCGTACAATAGTTTGCATAATATACGAGAGACGTACACCACACCAGCTAATCAGCTCAACGGGACAACTCAACATGTTAGTTGATAATATATTATTTGGTCCAAATGAGTAGAAAGCAAAAATATTATATTATTGAAAATTTTGGGCATATTGAAAAAAGTGTACACATGATCAAACACATAACTTATGTTATTATTAAAAACAGAGACAACCCAAAATTAGGGAAAAAAGAACTTATTTATTATTGTTTATTACTCGGAGATACATTTCTTGATTCAAATAAAAGTACATCCCAATTTATCATCATGGGGAAAAATGAAGGTAAATCCCCAGATTTATAGCACACATAGTTTTAAATTTAAATTTTATAAAATTTGTTTATATCAAAACAAATATTCAACCATAGAATCCTCAGAAGACTCTGGCCACGGCACTTGTGTAATGACCATGCTACCCTCGTACCCAAATTCAACACTCTTCCCATTGACTTTGCATGCCAAAGGCTTGTCCGAGGCATAAACCCTCATCTCTCCAGTTCCCTTCACTCCAATTCTTACAGTGCTCGCCTTATACGCCAACGACTGGATCGCCCCACCCGTGTTGAGCATGTTCACTAGCCCGATCGGAGCGAACTGGACCGAGTTGTGGGCTAGAACAGTGATGGGTGAAACCGTAATTAGCTCGAAGTTGAAGGGCTCGAGCGTAATGTCAATTGTTCCCGAGGGCTTGGAGATGATTAGCTTCTTTTCGCGGAACATGTACATGGCGAATAGTTTGACCCCTTCGACGAGTACCGGCTTGTTGCCGTGCTTCCACTCGATGTCGCTCGGGCCCGCCACGGAGGAGACGGCGTGGGAGTATTCCGAAGCGCACTTGTTGCGCCTTGTCTCGCGGCACCACCCTCCGCCTTGGCAGTTGAATGCACCCACCACTCCGGTGAACTAATAATATCCGAATATATATATATATGGAACTACGTCAGTGGAGAATTCAGGATTTTTTTACTTCAGAAATGTGCAACGAAATTAAAAGTATAAATTAATCTTGTACGATATCATTTCTCGAAAAATATTCGTCAATTTATTCAAATTATATCAGATTTCCAATTTCTGATCCGAATTTAGTTTCATAAAATTCTATATAATGAACAAAAAAAAAATAGAATTTTTGAATTCAGTTGATTCCGATTAAAAAAAAATCAATTTTGTAACAATTTTTTTTTCAATTCGGTTTTCGAAATTTCAAAATTTCCGAAATTCGGAAAAAAATAGAGGGAAAAAATTCGAATTCAATATGTTCACCTTGTTGAGGTTCCAAATCTTCAACATAGTCTTGCCATCATGGAGTGGATCCTCGAAGAGGCAACCGCGGGTGGGCAACGCGTAGTAGTCGCACCTCAAGATGGAGCCGTCGGGCAAGACGAGGCTCTTGAGCAGCGGGAAGTTGTGCTTGCCCACCGAGTCACTCACGTAGATGGGCCCACCAGAGATGGCGCGCGAGGCCGCGTGGAACTCGGCGCAGGGGTGCGTCGACTGGAACATGTCCCAATCGGGGTGGATGAAGTTGCCCATCCACAAGCTGTTGTAGGCGCAGTGCACCATGTGGCAACCCTGCAGCCAGAACGTGCCGTTGGGATCGCCCGATGGATCAGTGCACCAAAAATCATCCCCTGTAATTCATCATCGGTCCACAATTTTTCTCATTAGTATAGTAACATTTGATGTTTGAAATTTAGTACTTTGTGGAAAAATAATAAACATTTCGAAATTTCGTTTCGAAAAAAATGGGAAAAAAGTGTAAATCGTACCGACACGGCCAAGGGTAATAGCCTCGGTGCCGAGGAACATGAAGTCGTTGCAGTGCTCCATGCTGGCAATAACACCATTCCCTTTGAAATGCTTATTCACTGAAGTTGTCAATGCTTTGTAGTACGCTTTTGCTAGATCCACTCTTCCTCCATAATCCTCGCATAGCATTTCCAGCAACTTTACAAAATAATATATTAGAGTTAGTCAAAATATTGCTATATATATGCGGAAAAAATACAGTTTTCATCCTTCAAGTTTGCACCGATTTCACATTTGGTCCCAATTTTCAAGTAAAAACACATTTGGTCCACCATGTTTCAAAAATTCAACATTTTTAGTCCATTTCATCAATTTTCTATTAAAACTAACGAAATCAAGTGTGTGCCTATCATTTGCTTAACTGACGAACTAACAGTAAATTGACGAAAATGACCAAAACTGTTAAATTATTGAAACATGAGAAACCAAATGCAAAATCACTGCAAATTTGAGGGACGAAACCGTAATTTTCCATATATATATATATGGATAAATCCTTTAATATTTATATTCCAATAATAAATTTAGTAATTTAATTTCTGATTATTAAACAACCATATTCATGGTTGTAAACTGTACTCCCTCCGTTCCTTATTATATGTCTATTTGGATGTTTTTTTTATTCAAAATTATTTGTTATTTTAGAGTTTCAATAAAACATTAATTGCATTTTTATCGATTTTGCCCCTTGTCACTCTTAATAGTTAATTAAAAAATAATTAATGACAATACTATTTTAATGTTAGATTATAGACCATGCATATTTATCAATGTTATCATAATATACGCGCGTAACCACCCAAAACTTACGTGGATGACGTCAACTTTGACTCCATCGATACCAACAGACTCCAAGTGCGAGTGCAGCCCCTCATACATCGCCTCCGCCTGCTCCGGCGGCACAAGCCCGATCCCGTTATTCACAATCTTATCAACCGCCAAATCTTCCATCGTCGTTTCCAATCCAGGCGTCAGCTTCGGCGCAATCACCGTCGCCTCCGGCAACCCCGGCACACCGGGCCTCAGTCCACCCCAGTATCCGCACAACGCATGCCACACGTAAACATAGTCCACACTCTTAAAATTATCCTTCAAATCCCTCACGAACGCACCCATACCCGTTTTCTTAGCCGGGTCGGACTTATTCGGGCTCTCGTAGTCCCTGAACTTGTAGTTCTCCTGGAACCGGATCAGCCGGCAGGGCATCTGCTCGCCGGCTGAGGTCCGGTTCATTCCCTCGTATGTTATCGGATCCTCGTCGTGGCAGATGGACTGCCACCCGTCGTCGATGAGGACAAGCCCCGGCGGGCAGCCGCCGTCGACCAGACCCTGGACACCCTCGTACACGCCGTGAGGGTGCACCGTAAGGTAGAATGCATCCCACGTGCACCACCCGAACTTGTCGACGATCCCCGGCGGGGTTTTCTCCTCGAGAAGCTTGAAGGTTCCGAGGTGGGCCCTGGCAACCCTGATGGCGTCTTTGACCAGGGTGAACGGGTCGTCGCCGGCGTGCATGTACAGCGCCGCCCGGAATGAGGATCCGGTTACTTTGGTCGACCCGCTCTCGAGGCAGATGTCGATGTTGTCGTCGGATCCGGGTTGGAGGGAGCCCCGGAACTGGCCGTCGATGAGCGGGAGGAGGAGGACGTAGGGGCGTTTGCCACCGTCGTCGGATTTGTCGAGGATCACGATTTGGGTTTCCCGCTCGAGGTCCGACCCGTTTGACCCGACCCAGTGGGTTGTCCACCACACCTTGAAACGGAAGATTGACATGAACTTGATGTTCTTGAGCTTCCCCATGGGGATGACGTGGTGGCTGCTGGGCTCTTCAGTGTCGAACCCGACGAAGCATCCCGGAGCAGCGGCGGCGGTGGCGGTGGCGGAGATGTTGGCCGGGACTTCGGAGAGGAAGACTTGGTCGTTGACGGTGAAGTTTGAGTGTTTGTCGAGGGCTATTGACCCCACTTTGCTCGCACTTGGAGCCATTGTTGAATGCAGACGAGTTTAGAGAGAGAAAGTTAGAGAGAGAAAACTGAGGGTTTGATGCTGAAAAATGATAGCACAAATGGAGTCTTTATATAGATGACGATGATGAAGAAGATGAAAAAAAATTCATTTAATTTTAAATTTAAATTAAATCGAATCTTTAAATATAAAAATAAAGTAACCAATATGGGCTACATATTATTCCTTTGGGCTGCAAAGAATATTGGCCCATGTTGTGTAATGTTCCTATGATTAGTTGATCACTTGATTGGAATTTCTTGATCGATCATATTTATTTATACGGCCAAATCACGGTCACCCGTAAAGTCAAATTACGAAAAAATTATTTATGTTTTGAGTAATTACAGTCACCTGCCTCAATTATGTATTTTTTTATACGTCAATTCTTACGATGTTAAATTTATCTACTGAATGAGGGGTGACTGTAATTTACTTGATTTATATGGATCACATATATTAATAATTGTTTTTGTTGGGATATTATTATTTTTATTAATTAGTAGTAATATATATATCCTAATAAGACCTTGCTCGATTACATGGATCGAATTTTATTTGGTTCTTTGAATTAGATATGATACTAAAATTGTTCAAAACGAAAGACGGGCGTCGTCACAAACATTTCGATATCATCGTTCGATTCTTAATATAAGATTAATCATCAAGATAATATTCTTGAATCTCGTGAGAAAATCCAATCGATAATTCTCAATAAATAAATCGGAATTGATTTTTAATATTTTATCAATTAATAATTAAATAAATAATTCGCTATGTAATAAATACTATCATTGTAATAATTCAAAAGAGATGGGGGAATCAAGGGTCACTATATTGCAGGGAACAATTTGTGAGTGAAGAAATGAGAGGAGGATGTTTTCTTTACAAAAAGCCAACCTTTTTTTCTTCACTTATTCTTCTTTGTTATTCCCTTTTTCGTTTTGATAAAATGCATCTTTGTAATTATTTTAAAAGATAAAAAAAAAATTGCGAAAACACTAAGAAACCCTAATTTTATTTTTTTCCTCTTAACATTTTTTTCGAACAAGCTCATTTTTCACTGTGACGTGTCTAGATCATTATTTTCCTGACTTTTAGAGTGTCATCACGTACATCGCACGAGAAGAAATACTAGTATACTTTAAAAATATACATACAAATTTATTTAGATCGAAATTATAATTCTCGTATAATACAGAAATTCGTCATTTTGTGGAAAAATGGAGAGGGCATCAAGTAAAGATCCCTTTTACCCCTACTTATCATTTCATCAACATAAGATCCAAAGAATGGAAGAATAAAGTGATCTCTCTTTGATGCAAAAAAGAAAAAAAGATTCAATAAAAAGTCATCTTTCTTCATATTCTCATTCTATTTAATTTTCTTAATTTTTTATTCCGTAAATCTTAAACTATAAAATATTAAATTACACTAGTTAGATTAGGCTTCAAAAATAAAAATTAAAGAAAGAATATATACATGAATTAAAACAATATTAAACCAAGTGTTGAATTTTTTTTCGAAAAAATCATTTCTCCCCCGAAAAGCTGTGAAAAATCTTCAAATGAAAATTCTAGTCACTCTTATCAATATTAAACAGTAACAAAAAATTCCAAGATTTGATCGAAAAACTCTGCGAAAGACGCGATTCTTCCCAAAGCAACAAACCGCTCACAAACAAATAATTCAAAACCTATTGTCGAAAATCTACAAATTAAATACCAACAATAATAATCAAAGAAAATGAGAAGGAACACGCAACCAACCATATGAAATTAAAAATTTGTACCTGAACATGAAATCAGTCATTGCATAACATGTTATCAAAACGTAACAAACTCAAGTTACCGAAGCAAAACTCACGAAAAAACAAAAAGAAAAATCAGTCATAAAAAGCATTTGAAAGTTTAAAACATCAATTGGGCACCATGTTTAATTTCTACGAACTGGAGTTGGATGGAGAAGCGTCGTGGAGATCAACGCGGGCCCTTTTACGTGGCGCGCTCGTTGCACCATCATCTTCTAGAACACGAGTAACACCATCGGCATGAATGGCAGCAGATGAACCAACAATTGGAATAGTTGATGCAGAATTGGAGTTTGCAACGGAAAATGAATGAGGCGACGGACAACCACATAATGTTGGGCGTGACGAGAACACGGTCGAAATAAATTGTTGCAGCATCGGACGCAACTGTTTCTCCAATTCAATTTGCATTTTTTTCATGTTTTCAGCTTCAATTTTACGGTTACGAGCATCAAGGTCTTCATCAGTAAATCGATACTTCTTTCCGACAGAAGTTTGCCTGAAAAAAAAATGTAAGTGCAAAGTTAAGAAAAAATACACTTTACCACAACACATTCTTAAAAGACTTTAATTTAGAAATTAACACATTTTTGTTTTATATGGATCATCTAATGGACTACGGAATACCAATTTTTCCCCGAGTATTGATCACCGTCATCATCATTATTAAGTTGATGTATAGTAGTGCGTCGATCTTCATTTCTTCTATGATTCCAGCTTTAATTTTACTTTTACGAGCATCAAGTTTGTTCATCAGTAAACCGATAAACCCGCTGCATTCCAGCAGGAGTTTGTTTGTAATACCTGAATTTTTTTTAAAGTGCAAAGTTAAGAATGCTACTTCAATTTAGAATTTTTCTACATAGCACAAAATTCTATTTCAACTAGATTCTTAAAATTTGCATTCAAAGTTTGAAAAAAAAATACACTTTACCATAACACATTCTTAAAAGAATTCAATTTAGAAATTTACACATTATGTTGATCATCATGATCAAATTGATGTACTATTGCCTCTGCCTTCATTTTTTTTAGGATTGCAATTTTCATTTTATGTTTAAGAGCATCAAGTTCTTCATCAGTAAACCGATAAATCCGCTGCATTCCGGCATAAGTTTTCTTGAAATACCTGAAATTTATTTAGAGTGCAAAGTTAAGAATGCTACTTCAATTTAGAATTTTTCTAAATAGCACAAATTCTATTTCAACTAGATTATATTCTTAAAATTTGTGCTCAAAGTCGAAAAAAATGCACTTTACCACAACACATTCTTAAAAGAATTTAATTTAGAAATTTACAATGGGCATGAATAACACCTTGCATAGAATAATATGGATCATGTAATGGGCTACGGAATACCAATTTTTTCCCGAGTCTTGATCTCGATCTTCATCATTTAAGTTGTTGAGACATCTACAAAGAGTAAACTGCAAAAAGTACCCATGTGTAATCTTTAAATAGCGAAAACCCCCTATAATAAATAAACTAGCAAAAATCCCCCCTGTGAAATTATTTAAATAGCACACTCGGCCCATTACTCATTTGAAGATTGACTTCATATAAAAAAACCCAAATACCCCCGGTTTTGCAATTAATAAATTCTTATATTTTTTAAATATTATAATAATTTTATTTTTATCATATCTTAATTATAAAGGTACAACGGGGTCTTTAATTTATTTCTATTTTTATTATCACATAATTTTTGTATATATTTTAAATTATCCCTACATCAAAAGAAAACTTAAATTTCATTATTATATATTTAAAAAAATATATACTTAATTTGATTAACAAATTTTTAATAATTTTTCAATTTAATTATTTACTATTTTTTAACAATATTTTAATTTGTAAAAAACCAAATTAAAAAGAAATTATATATACATATAATATATATACATATAAATACATTTTAAGGGTCAATTTCGTCATTTCACGTCCAAAAATCAACTCCCAGTTGCGCTACCCGCGAGTGAGCCACACACAAGTCAACCAGGGGGGTTTTTGCCTTTGACTAAATTTCACAGGGGGGTTTTTGCTAGTTTATTTATCACAAGGGGGTTTTTGCTATTTAGAAATTACACAGTGGTACATTTTGCAGTTTACTCATCTACAATACCCAACACAACAAGTAAATTCATCAAAACCAAGAACAAAACATTAAAAAAAAATACAAAATAAGTTAACATATACATATATTAACATATACATATATTCGAAAGTTATGGCGATGAATATTTTCAAAACTGAAACAAACTAATAGCAAAAAGATAAACTCGTTTCTAAAACAGATCTTGTTCATAAACAAAGTACAAGTGGGAAAAAGAAAATCAAATAAACCCTAAATCACCAGTTTATTAAAGAAATTATAACACTGGGGTAAATATAGAAGAAAAAAAATACAAGAATCGGTGGTTTTGTTGAGAATTGGTGGTTTGGTGATACATTTTTATCTTGCATATATAACAACTTTTGACCTGGTCCTAGGGGCATTTTAATAATTTCAGGGAACCGCTGATTGCATAAAATTAGGGCAGATGGCAAATAGGTACATGATAAGGGCACTTAATTAAAAGATGAACATTCAACTTGTTTGTCTTTCAAATAAATCCAGCTCATTCAAACTTATTATTTGTAAATTAGGAAATAAAATTACCCTCAATTCAACTCCAATTTCATGATTTACATCCCAATTTAGCTCAATTTCATCAATTAACCAATTTTAATCCTAATTTCAAATTTGACCTTAATTTTGACGCGCCGATCTCCGGCGCTGACTTATTATTTTTTTTTTTAATTTTTGCCAGTACGTCAACTGCCGTTGACTTTCAATTTCAAATTTTTAAATTTTCTTCAGCGTTGACTTTTATATATATATATATATATATAATTTTGTTTTTCCTTAAAAAAATATTTTAATTAATATTATTGTTGTGGCTATTAAATTACTGTCTATATATATATATATATATATATATATATATATATATATAATTTTGTTTTTCCTTAAAAAAATATTTTAATTAATATTATTGTTGTGGCTATTAAATTACTGTCTCTAACAGTAATTTAACTGTCTGAGACAGTAATATAACTGTTAATTGATTTTTTTTTCTTCAAAAATATTTTAAATTAATATTACTGTATTAGCTCCTAAATTACTGTCTCCAGCAGTTATTTAACTGTTGAAGATAGTAATTCAACCGTTAATTGACTTTTCTTTTAAAAAATATTTTAAT